TGCACATTCTTTATCCTTTGCAGTTTCTCTAATTAATTAGTTCTGAGCCATTTATTTTGCATTTTGAAAGACACCTGAATTCTGATATTGGGGCTTTATTTTATAAATGAGAGCTTTCAAAGGAGAATGGTGCTGTCTGTTATTACTTTATATAATGGTGTAATGTTTATAAGATGTAAAAGTCAGTTATAAATGTATTAGCCATCTGTGCTAAATGCCAGTAAAATGTTCACCAGGACAAGGATGTGCATTTTCTCTTTAGAATACCAAATGTGTTTTAGACAACAATGCAAATATATAAAAGATTACTTCACCCATGTTATTCCTGATAAGAGATTCTTACTTAAACTTGGTCTTCTTTCAAATTGTTTGTATGATGCTATTTCCAGTGGAATTGTCCTCAGGTGTTTGTATAAATGCTACATTTTGCAATTTTCAAATTTTAAAAATATAATAAAGTTAAGTAACCATGACAGTTAATGCCCAAGCCTCAGATTTTTTTTACCTTCCCCAAACTATATTAATATGTGGTTATTAGACGTAAAAGAAAAAAAGACTCTGAGACTATTAGTAGTGTGCTTATGAAGATAACATTGGTTTTTCATTTTCCAGGAAAGATTTTACTGACAATTGGCTGTGTAAATGAAGGTTTACGTTTCTGGGGCTCTTTCTACATAATGAAGCTATGACGTTTTTCAAAGTCCCATGAGTCTAACAATGAAGGGTAATATAGGACAGAATATACTTTCGGAATATATGGCAGTTTTCTTTCCTCCACTTCCTTGCTATTTCAGAATTTCATATGAACAATAACGTTTAGATACTGTCCTCAAACTCAAGTGTTCTACTACTTGACTACATCAAAAACTGAATATCTATTGTGTTATATAAAGAGCCCCCGTAATTACAGAAAACAGAGGGAATGCAGGCTACAATATGGGACATACAGTTACACTGTTCATTAGACTGTTAAGGAACTAACAACAAATCACTAGTCAACACTACTACCTTTCTAGCATCAACTTCCTTTCTGCACTTTGTCCTTGAGTTCAAGGCCTTTATATCCAAATATTGACAGATATCTCCACTTCTGGGGCCTCAGGTATCACACAAAAATGATTTTTGTGCTCTGTCCCTTTTCCTCTTTGCTAGCCCACCCATCTTCTGTCCTTGTTCTGCTAAAATAGCAGCGCTCCCACCTACTGAAACATTAGGTCTCCCAAGACATGACTGTCAGTGTGAGTTCTGCCTAGTTTCTCCTAATGCTCCACAACCCTGAAGCCACCAGGGCTCAAACCTTCCTCTCAGGGATTCCTCTAGGCTTACATCCTCTATCTGCTCCTCCTGAGTTTGTATCCAGGTAGACACTTCAGACATGTCAAGTTCTTCCTTAGGAACACTTCCGGAGATGACATTTGCGTATTCTAGGGTTTAGCACAGTCTCTTATGCATGGTTACATTTAGAAGTTGTTTGAATTTTATAAAACTCCCCCCCCCCTTTTTTTGGTCTTTTTGAGACAGGGTCTCCCTGTAGCCCCAGCTGTCCTGGAACTCGCTATGTAGACCAGGCTGGCCTTGAACTCACAGAGATCCACCTGCCTCTGCCTCCCAAGTGCTGGGATTAAAGGTGTGCACCACCATGCCTGGCCAAAACACCCTTTTTAAAAACAATGGTAATTTTCGTTAAAACTCCCAGTTTAAAATAATTTTCATTGATGTCTGCGTTTCATTAATCCAATATGGCTAACTTCACCACCATGGAGCGTTTTAAATAACTGATCTTAGCTAAACTCACTGTGACAGAGGCAGGAAGACCTGGGAGCCTGCATTTTGAGGTAGAATAACTGAGAGAACCCTGAACGATTTGGCTATTGATTAATTTTTATTCTTTGACAACTTCATACATGTATATAGTATATTCTTGTCACACTCATGTTTCCACCTTTCCTTATCCTCTTCTTACCCCCACCCTCTCCCCTACTGTTCCTCCCACCAAGTCCCTCATTCCACTTTTGTCTTTTTGCTTTGGTTTATTTTTACTTTGTGACCCACTGAGTTTAGCTAGGGCCACTTACAAGGTCGTGGGGGTGAAATTGTCCATCAGAGCCATGAATAACTCACCAGTGGCTACATCACTGAAGACAATGGCCCTCTCTGATAGCAGCCCTGGTGGTCATTAGGTCCCCTGAGCAGAGTGGGACCCAAGAACCCCTCCATCACCTATAACTAAATGTTCACTGACTCAATTGTGTGCAGGTCCTATTCAGGCAACCTCAGCTGTGGAGATTTCATGAGCATCATTCCCACATCATGGCCAGTGCTTCTTCTCCGTCACAGCCTTCCTCTCTGTCATTTGACACTTACACTCCTTTTGCTCCCTCTTCTATGATGTCCCCTGAGCCTTGATATGGGTGTCCTGTTTAATGCTGAGCACTCAACAGCTATTTTGTTCTCAGCACCTTGACCAGCCATGAATCAATGCTTTAACTGTTGTTCACTGCCAGTAGCTTCTTTGATCAACACTGAGAACAGTACTAGTCTATGGGAGTAAAAATAAATATTTAGGAATCAGTTTGAAACTATACCCAGAGAAACAAAAGTAGCAAGTTCACCCTTAGTGCCTATTATCTCCCTAGCCAAGGGCCTTTGACCAGACCATATGTCTAGGCACAAACTCCCTCGTGGAAGTCCTGCTGCTGTTACCCCACTAAGCACCTCTTGCCTGGCAAGTTGATATTGTCCCATGAAATGTCTAAAGCTGTGGAAGATCTTTGTTGTCTTTCTCCCCAACAGCCTACATAGCGACTTCTGGCACAGTGACGGATAGCCAGCTCTGAGGAAAGTTTTCCAGCTCAGTTCTAGCATTGTTTCTCTATATTCTGCAATCAAGATGTATGGTATCTTCAACAACAGTGTCTTACATCCAGTTCTGGTGTGCAACCAACAGCAGTGGTCATAACCCATATAGTTTGATGGGCTTCTTGGGCCTTCCTGACCAATAACTCCTAGTCTTTGGGATTTTGTTTAATAACCTATAGCTTCTGGGATTGACATTATTGACCCATAACAGTCCACTGCATTCAGTATTTTTTAATGTTTTTAAGTAGCTTATGAAATGGATTTGCATGTGGTTTCTTTCTACATGCTTAGCTTTGATTAACTCTCTGTCTGTACCCCATTTCTCCCCCCATCCTCACCCCATCCATGTTGAATTCTTGACAGTCCTACCTAGTATTCTCATTATTTTTTTACCACAGGTATTATACTGTCCTCATCCCCCTTAAGGGCTCTACTGTCCCCATTTTCCCCCACTGCCAAAGCCCCATTCTCATTTCCAGGTCTCTATAAATACCTACAGTTTAATCAAACAAATTCAAAAATTCTAAACGATTTGATGATCCCCATATGAGAGAGAGCATGTAGTGTTTGATTTCCTGGCCTGAGTTACCTCGGTATAATTTTTCCAGTTCTATCCATTTTCCCACAAATTTCACAATTTCATTTTTCCTTACAGCTGTCATAATGTGGACTGATGTTATTTCCTAGTTCTTGTGAATAGAAGAGCAAAATTAACGACTCTGCAAGCATCTTTCTTTGTAGTACAATATAAAGCCCTTTAGGCATAAGCCCAAGAGTAGCATAGCTGAGTCAAATGCTAATTCTGTTTTTAGTTTTTCGAGAAACTTCCAGATATGGTCTTGCTATCACGTCAAGCCTGGCCTAGATGTCACAAAGTTGGGATCTGCTGGACTTTCTCAATCCCAAAACCTGAGATTACAGGCATTCACTGTCATGCCCAGATTAAAAAATAAAGCTGTCTTGAATTATTTTTCTTTTTTTTTTTTGAGAGAGAGAGCAAGAGAGGTTTCCCCTGTAGGCACAGCTGGCCTGAAAATCACTATGTGGACCAGGCTGGCCTTGATCTCACCACCTGTATCTGCCTTCCGAGGGCTGGAATTAAAGGTGTGCACCGCCATGCCTTGGCTCTATCCTGTATTCTATAGGTCATACCTTGTTCAAAAACGGCTAGTCCATGCTTTGAAAGTGGAATTCAAAAAATT